CCTATCACCATAAACTATTATTAAGATGTTGGTTTGTTTTCACCCATTTGACCCCGAGTTTTAAGAAACCTGACAATGGTACTGAAGCAGAGCTGGTAGGGATGACACTGACTGGTTTTGGTTGCAACTATTCTATGTAGTACAGGGTTTGGCAGGGAGGTGTGATGGTTTTCAGAAAATTAGTACACAATTATTTTTTGATGAATAGCAAATTTTAACATTTTTAAAGAGTACATGTATAATGAATGCCATTTAAGATGCTGTAACAAAAAATTAGAGAATTTAAATTCATTTTCAGAAAATAACATCATGCAAATGGCGGCCGTTATTGTCCAAGCATTGTTGCACATGAGCAGAAATAGTTCTTTGAAACATAGCGAGGGGAATCGCTCAAATTTCTCGGGTGATGGCAACTGAAAGGGTTTCAAGAGTGTGTGGTTTGTCAATGTAAACCTTAGCTTTCAGGTAGCCCCATAAAAAGTAACCACACGCCGAAAGATCTGGGGATCGAGGGGGCCACTTCACATCCCCACACTTTGAAATGAGGGGCCCAGGAAAATGTTCTCTCAATAAGGCCATTGATTCTCTTGAGGTACGGCAAGTAGTCCCATCTTGTTGAAACCAAACTGTAGTGAGGTCGATGCGATGTCTTCACAATTCAGGCAGTAAGAACTTGCGCAACACTGTCACGTAACATTGTGAGTTTACTGTTACAGTGCAAGCACCTTCCATGAAAAAGGCAAAGTTATGCCGAATTGGGCCATTCCGCACCACACAGTGACTTGCTCGCAATGTAGGGGTCTTTGATGGAGTTCTTGGGGATTGTTTGCTGACCAATACCAGAAATTTTGTTTATTGACACTTCCTGTCAAGTGAAAATGCACCTCATCACTCATGATGAGAAAAGTGTCATCCCTCAGCACTTCCAGCATTCTTTCAGCAAACGTAAACCTCCATATGAAATCCTTCTGCTACAGTTCTTGAACCACCATGATTTTGTACAGGTGATAGTGAAGGTCAAAGTGTAAAATTCGGCAAACTGACCTCTCTGACATCCGTAGAGCATGAGTGTGCCGTACTGCTGACCAACATGGGCTGGTCTCCACAGCTTGTCAAACTCTTTCGATGTTTACCGGAGTCCTGATGGTTTGATCGCCTCGCCAAGCTGTACCTGGTCTCCCAGATCCAGTTGTCCTGAAGTTCTTCACCCACTTCAATATTGTGTTTCGAGACTGAACGGCGCAATGTCAACCAACATTGAAGTGAGTATGAAATCTGTGCTGCGTAAGCACCACCGAACTACCCGTTTGAATAAACGTCTCAAAAACAAAGGCGCGATGTTCAATCATCCACGGTTCCATGGCTACTAAAATGGCGTCTAACAGCAAGTAATTGCCAACCATGGCGCATGCACTAGTCCCCCTATCACCACTTTAATACCCATCACAAATACATCAAACCTCCCTGCTGGACCCTGTATATCTGGCATGTAATAATGCCACTGAAACATGACATGCACTATGTGATAATATTATATTGTAGCATTCTGCTGCACTTTTCACTTAGTGTTAAGTGGTAAGTGGTTATAGTCTTATTAACACTTATTAAAAACTAGTCACTTTAAAAGTTTTTTATGACGTTTTGACCAAAGTAGTTGAACATGACACATGCATAACATATAATATATGCACTAGGGGAACCATATATCAACAACTAAGCATCAATGCAGAAAGACAGCAGTTCCCTCACCCACAACTGTTAACATCTGATGATGACCACTCTGGTCAAAACATTTCATAGAAACGTTTATTCTAATAAGTTTTAATAAACCATTGCACATAAGACTGTATAACTAATTAACACTAATTCCACTGTGTGAACCAAATGTCAGATGAGAAGTTGCTGCCGTCAGATGAAGTGATGATGAAGATAACAAAATGAGTGAGAGTGGTGATGGAAGAAGCAAGGATAATACTTCTGTAACAGCACTACAGGGTTTCAGAAACAGTAGGAAGTACAAGATGACATTAAGGACTTTAATCTGAATGCTCATAATAGAGAAATAATTTAAACACAGAACTGACTCCTTCCTCTTCATTTACAGAGTATGCAATTGTATTTTTAAATAAAATATGTGAATTAAAAAGTTTTATAGCATGAAAATTCAGACTGCATGGATATTAATAGAAAGTGAGTACTTTAGCTGAGTGGCCAGCACTCCTACTTCATACATGAGAAATCCTGGAACTGACTCTTAGAGCTGAACTCAGCTATTCTGAGCTCTTCCACAGCCTCTCAGTCAAACCTTGGGAGCACACCTTAAAATGGCAAATAACTGTTCCCTTCTAAATCCTTTCAAATTAATGTCACTGCTATATTCCATGCAGTTTGAAATGCACCATTAAAAATCCAAAAATCAATCATCTATAAATAATGAGGCTGAAACAGTGATAAATGGCTCCACTATGGACTTTTAAGAGAAAACCTCTCACCTTTGCAAGGCTGGCAGTGAAAAGGACACACTCATACAACTCCCCCATCCTTTGCAAGAACTCATCCACATATGGCCTCTTAAGAACATACACCTGGTGCACAGTTCCATCTATCTCCACAGGAACCACAAAGTCAGCATTACTGATGGGCTAGAACAGCAGTGGTTACATATCACACATCAATCCTGTATTCCACCAATTCATATTCATCAATACAAAACACTACACTGTATGATTTCTTTCTTGCAATTCAATGGCTCTACAGCCCTTCGTTGGGCCCTGGCCTCTTCTTCAGTTTCATAATCTTTTTTACAGATGGCAGGACTCCTAGCATACACAAGCACACGTTTCACTTGGGCATCATGATACCCCCAGTGAATAAAATCACCTGTATGCACTCAGCCTTAAAATAATACCACACATCAACTACAAAAAAGAATGGAATAAAAGGTCTTGCACATTTCAGAGTAATCATTACTTTAAACCACAATGAACGAGAAAAAGGTACAGCAGTAAATAATAAAATAGAATTAGAGGCTCCAAACACCTAGTCTTAAAATTCACTCACCTTAAATGAGCTGTGTACTAGTGTCTCATCCAAATCAATCACCATGCACTTTTTATGCATGTCCTGATGTCGTACTGGGGGTAACAGGAACCTAGGGGAACCTGGGCTAAGTGGAGGTGAACCGCGACCCACACTACCTGGGGGTAGTTTTGAGCTTTTCGAATTTGTCTGCCTGCTGAAGCAGCAAAGCAGTGAACGCAAAAACCCTCGTCGGGGTTTCTTGCCAACTTGACCTGAAATCAATCAAGATATATGAGGTTCTTATGATAGTGAATATGAAGACTACTGTTTTTAGGATGCAATGCAATACAGTCTGGCAGAAAGGTCCTGGTACTGGCATTTTGGAGGAAACTGTGCCACCATTTTCAGGTCAGATGAAGATGGAGGCAGCAGGTTCCTCCAACATGTCAGTACCTTTCTACCAGATTACAAAGTGTCACAGCCAGAAGACTAATCTGCAATAATGGTATCAGAATTCTACCTGAGGAGAAAATCCTGTAGCAAATTACATTTACATCTGTTCAAGGCATTAACAATTCAAAACACTTAACAGAAACCTGACACACATATACGCACACTAACACCGGAAATTATGTGTAAATGATGTACTTCCTGGATTATAAGTTACACTTTTCCACACTTTATAATTTCTGAAACTGAGGTGTGTGTCTTACATTTGAGGGCATCTAAGAACCAATATCAAAAAATTATATTGTATGACAACGAAAATCGTCATGTCCATAACACTAATTACAGAAAAGTAACATTAAGAGAGCAACAGAGCACAGTTAAAAGTGTCATAACATGTGACAATGTGTGACAGAGGCTTGGAGACCAAAAATATCAAGTACTCTTTGATATTAACTAATACTCTACAATGAAAAGAGATTGGTCAGCGTATCACTAACACTGTTGCAACATTCTGTCAGTGTCACACTTCCCTGCTGGATACACTTAGTGTTACACATGGACACATCATTTACGTATGCAGCAGACCATGGTAATAGAACTGTAGGATGTAAATTTACAGCAAGTGAAGCAATCATTTGCCATCAGAGGAATGACTGTGAATTTATACTTTCATGCAAGGCAACAACAGCAGTTTCACAAAGCCAAAGAAAGGGACACACCCTGATGTGCATGCTGCAGTCCTCCACTTCACGAAGAATACGAATGCAATGGGGATGCCCATCACATGGCAGACTATGTACGTAAGGCGACAGAAAGTGCCAAATCACTTGAAATAACTAATTTTTAATGTGGGTAACAATGGTGTCACAGATTTATGTACTATGAAGAACTGTCACTCAGGCATCAAACATCCGTCTGTCAAGTGATCCCATTCTGAAGAGAAGTGGCTGAACTTTCAGCAATACATTATTCAATTAAGGAAGAAACAAAACTATGCACTTAAGCATACTGGAAATGTAGGTAAGGCGATGGTCTATCCTAATATGCCTCAAATAACACTGTTAATGCTAAAAGTGCAAAAGAACTTAAAATTAGAAGCACAGGTTATGAGAGGCCTCATGTAATTCTGATGCTGTGAGTAACTGCTGATGGTCAATAATTACCACCTTGTACCTTCTCAACTAAAAAGTGATACCTAACAATGAGATGTCCCCTAAAGGCATTACTGTGCATGCACAATCTAATGGATACATGAGAGCTGATTTTATGGAAGACTGGGAGAAAAGTGCATGGGTAAGACATCCTGGAACTCTACACGACTGACCAACTATGGCAGTACTTCACACTTTTCATGGCCCTTTATCAGCATAACTCAAGGTTAAGCTTGAAGGCCTATGTGATGACTGCCCTGAGGTAGTCACAAGTGAGATAGATGAAGAAAGTGCTTCCATGCCAGCACACTCTGAGGCAGTGAAAAGTTTGAAACTTTGTGGCAAGAGATGTTCCAGAAGCAGTAATGAGTGTTTGTGAAACATAAAAGTTTGTTAATGGAATGGCAGAGAAAGGTACCAAACTCTGAACTCATACTTATTCATAAATGGAACTAATAACATGGTTAGACTTCAATGTATACAACATACATTGTTATCATTAGGTTACATTAGCTTTCTTGTCAGCAACAGTTTTTATGTTATTTGTATACATTTTTTAACTGATCCATTATGAAGTTTTATATTAATTTTTCTTAGCACTAAAGTAAAAAGAGGGGCTCTAGTACTGCCATGCATTTTTAAATTGCCCTGATATTATATTGTGGCATATTTGTTAAAGGCAAGAACTGTGAAGCCAGAAGAGGCAGCCATTACAGAGTAACAGCTTCACAAACAAGCACATGTCCACAGTGAAAATGGGATACTGACTGACTGCCTGACTGACTGACTGACTGACTGACAGACAGACAGACAGACAGACCAGTCAGTCAGTCTGTCTGTTGAGAGTTGCTGTAGCTGAGGCCAGGACAGTTCGGGAACTCAGAGGAAGATAAATGCCATTGGAAGCAATTACCAGAAGACTGGTGAAGACACGGCATACTGAGTAGACTTAAGTGTGTGCTCTAGTGAACTGTAAAGTGCATGAATTAGTGAAACAGTTATAACTACTTGCAGTCATGGATCTGTAAGAGTACAACAAATACACTTACCAATCCAAGACCGATTTACAGTCACTCTACCATGTGACAGTACATTCTGTTTCTTACAACTTCTTATAACTTGTACCTTCCCATTCAAAATACCTGTCATTGCAACTACTTGCTACCTTCTGAATTATCATCACATTAAAGTGTTAATCAGCACATAATCATCCAATGAATTTCCAGTCACTAGCAAAATATACCAAACTGTGTTCTGATTGCTTATATTTAATCTCTCAGGTATTTCTATGACTGCACATGGGTGATCCCATGTACTACTCAGTGGCCACCATGATCTTCAAACTGAGAACTGCAGAGTTTATTGGAGTTCCTGAGAGAGTGTCTCCCCCGCGATGGTGTCTCTACTTTGACGTAGTGGAGGGGCTTGCGTGGTCAAATGACCCTGAGAGCTATGCCGGTGGTAGCATAGCTACTGGTAGGGCCACCCATGCCGGACAGGTCGAAGGTGATGACCCAGACTAAAAGAAATACCCTGGCCCTCCAGGTTGGGGATTGGGTGAGAGGCTGACGACCTCTCACCGTAAAAAAATATGTCTCAAAACCTGGAATCAAGCCTCGGAAACCTCAACAGAATGGAAGACGGCATTTGGCAAAGAGTATCCCAAAGAAAATATTATACAGTACAATAGGTGGTAGGAGACGTGCTGGGAAACCAAGAACTAGATGGATTGATGCGGTGGAAGAAGATGCAAAGAAGTTAATGGGCATAAGGAACTGGAAGAGAGCAGCGCAGGACAGAGAGGAATGGAGGGGCTTGATAAGGGAGGCCAAGGCCTGACATCGGGCTGTTGCGCCATAGAAGAAGAAGAGAGTGTGTCTCATTCATTACCTGAAAGTGAGCTTTCATAACAAAAAATTTCTTGGAATAAAGGAACAATATTATGCAGACTGGGACAGCATAACAAATCACTGTCAAGCACTTACAAATACTTCTGTGACAACAGTACAAATCAAAGCTCTTGATATACATGGTACTACAAAATTCCCTCAGTTTGACTGCATGCATCAACCACACATGTACAAATATAGGGAGGGCAGATCTCAGTTCCATCATATATGGCCTTAGTTCCATTCAGGTTCCGTCTCCAAATGACAGAAGCACCAACCATAAAGTGCCGAACAGAACACTAAAGTTCGTAAGCAAAAGAATGGAGGGGTATTTAACTTTCCATGCCACAGTTGGTAATTACAAAATGTGGGAAACAGCATAGCAAACACTTACAGAATATCTAAAAGATCGGTCAAGCAATGGTCAGTGTAGTCAACATGTGGAGACTTGTGATTCATAGGCCCAATGAATGGAGTATGCAGAGAGGTTAAGGAACATGCTTTATTCTTATATGCACTCAGATTTGTTTTCACAAGTCTTCCCATATTACTGTAATACCAGTTTACTGGCTGTTTTCTGTGGTTTATTTTACAATGATGTTGGTATCTCAGGCTATGCAGCGTCAAATGGCATGACTGGTGAGTAATGAACTGAAAAGGATGTGGAAAAATATAGCTGGGCCCTAATCAGGATATTACTCTGGAATTTTCCTGGAGTGAATGAGAAAAACTAAGAAAACACTGTCAGGATAGGTCCCAGCCAAAATTAAAACACAGCACCTCCCACAAACAAGTCTACAGCATTCCAGTCTAGTATTACACATATACAAAAATGAACATAAATTAAGAAAATATATTCAACATGCATTACATCTTGTCTACCACTTACCTGGGGGTGCCAATTCATTTTCCACACGTGGCAATGGAACTGAAAAAATAAGAGAATAAAACTGTAGTATGCCAATGCTCATAAGAAGCAGGACTCTAAATGACAGATAATGAAACTTTTGTGGCAAATATGTCACACCACAATTGAATGTAGCCACTGCAAACTGGACAAAGTCTTCCCTTAACAGTCAATCCCCTATTCAAAGAATGATAAACATAAACAACAACAATTATAGAATAATTTAGTGCACAAATGTGGCCCCCTAGATCCCCAGATCTAAACCCCGGTGATTTTAATTTGTGGGGAAAACTCAAAAGTGTTGCATATGCCAACAATCCACATTGCCCGGAGGCTCTAAAACAGAATATTCGTGAAGCAATTTACAACATTTAGCAACATGAATTGCAATATGTTTCACGAAATCTGTTTAATGGAATTCAGACATGTCTCACAGCAGAGGACAGACATTTCGAACATCTCCTATGATGGTGAGTACAATATTAATTACTGTATTTAATTAATAATTAATGAAAGTAGTAAACAATGTGTGCTAACAGTTCCGGGTTTTTGGCAGCATTTTTCTTGGCAAGTGGTGCAGCACTTTCGCAGAAAGTTGCCAATAGTAAAATCAATGTCCAACCAGCATGCACTCTGAACATGATGTACAAATCATAAATCAAGGTGTGACTGAGGCAATCAAATAACACAACCACCTTAGCCTTCTGAGAATGCCTGTCAAGATGATAATGCTGTAAGATTCTGGAAGAAGACTACATACTATATATAGCATATCTCAGACAATGTCTTTAGTGAAACCAATGGCACCTGTTCAATCATAAAGAAACCACTTCCAGATCTACGATAAGATGATTTTCAGGGTTTTACCAACAAAGAGGTAAACAAGACTAAAATTACCGATTTGGTGGATGTTTTAAGGGGGTTAAAAGTTATATGTGTAAATCTGACTTCCAGTACATAACTAATGCAGATATTATTTGTTCTGCTGCGGAATATACTAAGAGACATGTAGGCGAACAACAAGCAGATAGTAATTGTGTCAGCCACAACACTGCACTATGGTGTTTTGACAGTTTGTTAACTACATGAATCAAAATTGGAGCCTACAAAACATGTTCTGCTGTTCATGAAAAAAAGAAACAAGCAATTACATTTTTCTAGAAGTCAACAATAGTTCACTCTACTGCTGTAACTTCCAGATTTCTGATTGAATTCCAACATACATGTAGACATCTGACATTTAGTATTCACTTCTAGCACTACTAATCTTGTAATGATCAATATACAGACCATATGAGTCAACCATGGGTAAACCACAGAAACAGAGATTCTGATGACTATCTATTCTGAACACTGTGTGCACTAGCTCATAAGTGTTCTGGAATACAGTACTGTCTTATAACACCACTTTTACTGTTCGACAAAATTAGCATTGCTGACAAATGTAGAGGTTCGACTTGAAAGACAAACTGCAAATTATAAAAAAAGAACGCACACAGAATAACAGGAATGCATAATCTTAATACTTATGCATTTCTAATACAGAGCAACATTTTTAACATGGTGACAGTTGTTACGTTACAAAGCCGTTGTCATTGATACCAGCACACGCATTTTTTAGAAAAAATAAAAAAGCTGTAAACAAACCCTGGAATTCTGTTCTCCTCCAAAATAATGCCTGCTACAATTACTGGTGTACAGACTTCCTCCTTAACAGGTGCAACACCCATGTTAGGACCTACTTACCCTTTTCAGGAGAAAAATTACTTAGTTGTTCGTCATCGCGTGACACCTGTGTGATGATGGACGTTGCGTCCATTTAAACATTTGTTTTTTATCCTGTTACTGTGCTCAATTTTGGAAAAGTAAACGAGAAACACCATAAAAAATTCTTTTATTTCAAAATGGCAGATGATCTTTCACTCCTCTCGACTTGTTGTGGTGATGACTACGTATATCAACATGAGTATGAAACCACAAGACTCAACAATGAATTTAAATTTAACACATGATTTGTAGAATTTCGTTGATTTTCATGCTCTACATGCATACATGTTCGTTCACAACGACTTCTAGATAACATCTGTCTCAAGATTTAACAATAAATTGACACCGAAACCGCATATGCGCATCAGTACCAAACAAACTACACAATTTATATCAATATAAAAGTATTTAAGAAAAATGTTTTATTGTAGTAAAAATTATGTTCCGACACAGTAATAACGACTGAGAATACAAAAATGATATTTTGTGCATTAATATTTCTACATTATGAAGATACACTCAATCGACGTTTCTAACAAACATTGTCATTGAATACATATCACCGTAGATGTTACAAAAAGAAGCCGTTCACTGATACTACCTCGGTAATCGATCCTACCTTCCAGCGCATTCCAGTGGTTCCAGTGTGCATTTGCAGCCGAGCAAGAATTGTGTCTTGTCTCGGTGTGAAGTAATCTTTCGATAAACTTTGAGGAGTATTCTTGCTCGCAAGAGGGTATAGGAAGTGTTAATAATTAACAGGAGGTTAAATGATTCGTGTATGTACAAAAATATTGTGGTATAGTGGATAGAGTTCGATTCCAGGCATTATCAAATTTTTTCCTGAGAAGTAGTTGGTGTGGAACGGGGTCCACTCAGCCTTGTGAGGATAATTGAGGAGCTATTTCAAGGAAATAGCGGCTCCGGTCTACAAAACCGAAATTAACGGCCATGGGGATTTTTTTATTGCAGAAAGAATATTGTAAATAAAAAAGGCCTAGGCAATGCCCATCCGGCCTAGCCGCGGGGGTTCGTTGCGCTGACAACTCGACACCCTCTATCCGCTAAAGGTGGCACTAACTTTGTTGTCTAATGACGGTGGCTCGGTCAGAATAGTTCGCTTGCGGAATAAAACCACGGAGTTTGTTTATTACTTTCTGAGCTTAAGACAGCACCCTCCTTCGTGGGGTGTTACGTGGGTCCAGAGGCAAATTTGTCGTTGTTGGTTTTCGGGTTTTTGATCTCTCTAAGCGCGATGAAGGTGCTTTTAAAATTTAAACTATATATTAGAAATGCCATGATTGTTTGGGGGGGGGGAACTCGTTGGTGAAAAGCTCAGGATTAAAGACAAAACGAAGATGTCTCTGGAATGTGATGTAGTGTAGCCTAGGAGGTATTTATCAACGTTTCGGAGGAACCTGCTACCGGCATCTTCAGTGTAACCTCAGAAACGCTGATAAATATTTAGCAGACAACAGCAATTCCGCACTCCCAACCATAAGAACATTAAATCTCAAACCACAGCAGACTATTGAAATTGCAATGCCCAACTCTGTTCTTGGCAAAAGATAAAGTTGTGCCTGTGCTTAATTAAGCACCACCCCCATGAAGATGGATGAGGGAGTAAAAATACAGCTCCGCCATTCTTGGCCTTGGCTCTAGATGGAGGTGTTTGGTCAACTTCATGCCCATGACACTTTGTCCAAGGGAAAGAGCCCTCAGTACCCATTGTATAAGTAGACCCAAGGCCTGGTCCGAACAATGTTGAGGAGAGAAAAATCTCTACACTTCCATGAATCGAACCCTGGCCATCCAGCCCATAGATCGTCGCTGTACCGATTGAACTATCCGGCAGTACATAGATCTACACAGGAATTGTTAAAAAAAATGGTCTGAAGCAAGGAGATGTTTTATCGCCACTGCTTTTCAACTTTGCTTTAGAATATGCCATTAGGAAAGTCGAGGGAAACCAAGTGGGTCTAAAATTAAATGAGACACATTAGCTGCTGGTCTATCATGATGTGAAACTATGGGGAGATAACTTAGGTACCACAAAGAGAAACACAGAAACTTTTAATTGATGCTAGTAATGAGGTTGGTATAGAAGTATATGCAGAAAAAGGGAAGTATAAATTTGTCTTGTCACCAGAATGCAGGGCAAAATAATGACATAAAGACAGCTAACAGAACCTTTGAAAATGTGGCAGATCAAATACTTAGGTATGACAGTAGCAAATCAAATTTGATTGAGGAGGAAATTAAGAGGAGATTGAATTCAGATAATGCTTGCTACCATTCAGCCCAGAACTATATGTCTTATTGTCTGCTGTGTAAAAATGTAAAAGTTAGAATGTACAAACAGTAATTTTGCCTGTGGTTCTGCATGGGTATGAAACTTGATCTTGGACATTAAAGGAGGAACACAGACTGAGAGTGTTTGAGAACAGGGTCTTGAGGAGAATATTTGGACTGAAAAGAGATGAAGTGACAGGAGGTTGGAGAAAACTGCATAATGAGGAGCTTCATAACTTTTACTCTTCATCAGTATAATTAGAACGATTAAGTCAAGGAGGATGAGATGGGCAGGTCATGTAGCTTGAATGGGGGAGAGGAGAAATGCATATAGGATATTGTTGGGAAAGCAGGAAGGAAGGAGACCACTGGGAAGGCCAAGATGTAGGTGGGTGGACAATATTAAGATGGATCTTAGAGAGATAGGACAGGATGATATGGACTAGATCTGGCTGAGGATAGGGACCAGTGGAGGCTCTTGTAAACACAATACCGAACCTTTGGGTTTCATAAAATGTTTTCAAGCTCTTGAATAGCTATGGAAGGTGGCTTCTCAAGAAGAGATCAGCTCCATGAAGTTAGTTAATAGCTATTTAGTAATCTGTGTTATTTAGCATAGTTTTTTTAATGCTAGTGGTGTGGGACTAAGTCCCTTGTACTGTGGCCACTTCTGGCCTATTGTACCAGCCCAAGATGATAGGCGAGGGTGATTTTGGAGCAATTGGTGGAATGAAGATTGGCAGGGGAAACTGAAGTACTCGGAGAAAACCTGCCCCAGCAACACTTTGTCCACCACAAATCCCACTTAACCAGACCCTGGATCGAACCCGGGCCGCTGCAGCGGGAAGCCAGCGACTAACCGCTTGAGCTATGGCCCAACCCTATGTAGCATACGTTAATCATTATAGTGGTTTAAGTTCCCCAAGGCACTGCTTAAGATTTTTGCAGGGGCGGGGGGAAAGAAAATTTGCTTGAAAACCATTAAGCCGTCTAATACTATTTTTACTGATTGCCTCAGAGTAATCAGGATAGAATAATCATCTTATACATATTAATATTTGGTGTAATTGTTTCCTTCCTTCAATTCTGATTTTACTTGAGTAATACCCTAATAGAGGAATTAAAATGATATCTAAGTGAACAACAAAAAAGAATATAAGTATGAATTATAACCAAACTCATCCATGAGCCAGTACTTTTACTGGAGATTCTACAGATTAATGTGTTAAAAATATATAGTAAAATTCGATGTACATACCTCTTTTCTTGCTATCTGCTTGATATATATATAGGCTGAAATGAAACTGCAGTATTCGATTTCACTACGAAAGCACAGAAAACAGATCACACTCTGTATTTGGCCACAATGCAACTGTCTGTTCAGAGCCCTAGAAGGGGCAATAATCCCTTGCAGCTATAATGGAAGGTCTTAGCACTGAAGAAGGGAAACCTCTAGCTTTTTCTTGAATAGCCATTCTTTCATTCTTCTGTCCTGTAGTCAAAAGGATTCAAAAATCTGAAGAGTAACAAAGATGTGAGACTTGCCAGCAGAAGACCAAATTATTTTATTGCTTCCATCTGTTTTATGACACCAGGGACTGCTAAAATATGTCAAGTGTTAAAAGCAGGACTGATGTTATGATGCAGAACAACTCTGTGAAGAACGGAGAAACCATTTTTACAGAACGCATCAAAATTAAAAGAAAAAATTGAAAATAAAGTATAAGTCTTTGTATATAAATTTGCAAATCTTCTGTTGGAGGTGGAGTGAGGAGTGTTATGACACTTTCAGTTCCTTACAAGCTTGCAGAGTGTAGTGCACGGCATGTCCAACAATTGAAAAAAGTCACCCTCTTTGTCACTGCACAGTGTGCAGAGAATTTCAGGAAGAACTCATAAAGCCTACTTTCTAGAGCACACACAAATCTTATGTAGTTAATATTATATTTCAGTATTTCAAGTTTATAATCAAACAATAACATGCAGTTTGGCTCATGGATTACCATGATGGTCTCATATCTAGATGGCCATAGGATTAAATTCTACTCACACTGGAATTTTCTGTACTTTGAACTGTAAATACAGTACAGAGTGGGTATAACCTCAGAGTTTCACACCATTGTCATATGTGTCGACTTCTATAAACAGTATTTCATACATGTTTATAGTCTATTTTCATACAAAATTTAATTTTTCTATCTACGGTAGCCCATTAACTATCACTGTCAAACTGAAAACTAAACGTTTTTCTGTATCCACCACGTTGTTCTCTAATTTTTAAATTAAAGAACAAAAACTTTAATGAAAGTTGTGTATTTTTCTAAGGTCAACTAAGATATATTTTTTGAGGACATTATATTAAGGAATGATAGTATCGCTTCCACCATACTATTAATGAGTGCAGAAAGTCAAGAAATTATGACAGGATGGCCTCCAGTGGTACGTTTGTACAAAATTTTGTCAAAATCTATCAGCTGTGAGCATGCACATACACACAGCATGGCAATCTCATAAACTTACATTCTCCCCTTAATTAGGCTAAAAGTAAATGATCTGGAGCAATGTTGATATGCAAACACGCTCTCATAAATTGTAGATATACTTCTTGCAGTATTTCTTCCATACAAAATTCATAAAGTCATATGTTTCATATTAGGGGCTTACTTCATGCACTCATAACATCCAATACTGAAAAAGTACATTTTCAAGAACTTCTCAAAAAATAGGCATTTTTCATTAAAATTATGAGAGATTATTGTTGGCAGATCCATCTATCAGCAGAATCAGTACTGTCTCCAACAAGTACATGCTGTGCTTTTTCATGCTGTATTACCATAATCTCACACAGCATCATAATGATTTTCTATGGTGTAGAGAAAATTAATAATGCATTACAAAATCAGTTTATGAAACAAAATAATTACAACACCAGATCACCACAACAAATTAAATGTTTCAAATAATATCAGTGAAACTGGAGACTTAAAATGTACATAGAAAAAGTATGAACTGGAATACAAACCATATGAGTGAAACAGTCTTGGGTGTGCCCAAAGGGAAGATGGAGAGAGAGACCTAAAGGTTTTAGCAACAGGCACTTAATGCTTAATCATGATGAGATAATGATAGTAGTCATGTGTGCGCGTGTATGCGCTAGGGAGGGAGACAGATACTACTATAAATTACCTTTTCTGAGTAACATACTCCCATGCATATCGAGTGTTAACTCCAAGAAGAGAAGAGGAAAATGTTTGCACATGACATATATTTGTCCATGATAAAATTTGTGTGTATCTGTGAAGTTACTGTTGTCTGTGTAAATAAGAATACAAAGGATTTCAAACTTATGATGCTTTACTGGTTCTAGGAGCAACACTTACAACTGTTAAACAGAAGCAAAACAATACGTACATGATGAGTTTTAAGTATCTGTTTTATATATATAATCACTGTTTATAAAATATTTCAAACTCCCCCTTTTACAGCTTTCTACATAGTCTTCATATACAAAACGATTTTGTTATCCACCTGAAATTAGAAATATATACCACTTTTCAAAACTGATTAGGGGGGAGGAAATTAAAGTTTCTAAAACTGAATAAATGTAAAAATATCCCACACCAAATTCTGCTAGTTCAAACTAAATCTAAGGATTCTTAAATTTAAAAATAGTAATGAAATTAGTCTTTAGATACAGGTTGCAAAAATTTAAGACAGGAATATTACAATTCTTCTTCTGCTTCTCCTCCTCTTTCTACCTTTGATTTTAACTAATTTCATGGAACTGAGCCCTTATTGAGAAGCTACCAGTTGTGCAGCTACTCAAGAATTTCCCAATGTTTAATGGAACCCGAAGGTTCATTACTGTGTTCACAATAGCCCTCCACTGGCCCCTATCCTAGGCCAGATCAATCCAATCCATACCACCCCCATCTTATTACTAAGATACATCTCAGAATTATCCACCCACCTATGTCTTGGTCTTCCTAGTGGTTTCTTTCCTTTTGGCTTTCCCACCAACATCCTATATGCATTCCTGTTTGCCCCCATTCATGCTACATGCCCTGTCCATCTCGTCCTCCTTGACTTGGTCATTCTAATTATGGTTGACAAAGAGTACAAGTTATGAAGCTCCTCATTATGCAGTTTTTTCCACCCTTGTCATCTCATCCCTCTGTGGTCCAAATATTCTTCTCAGCACTCTGTTCTCAAACACCCTTAGTCTATGTTCCTCCCTTAATGTCAGAGACCAAGTTTCACACCCACGTAGAACCACAGGAAAAAGTATAGTTTTGTATATTCTAATTTTTATGTTTTTAGACAGCAAACGAGAATACAAAAGCTTCTGGACTGAATGGTAGCAAGCACTACCAAAATTCAATCTCCCTTAATTTCCTCCTGACTAAAATTTTGATTTGTTACTGTCATTCACAAATATTTGAACTGTGCCACATTTTCAAAGGATCTTCCTTTGATGATTATACTTTCATATTACAAGACTCTTTCCTCTTCCACTTCCACTTTCATGCATGTTGTCTATAAACGATACTACATAAGAAAAATAAATATCTGGAGCCTGATATTTCTTTCTTCACCCACTTTCATAGTATTAGCTATGAAAAATGGATGTCCATGAACAGAAACATATAGAAACAAGCCTACAATGATCTCTAATTTTTGCTTCTTCTTGTATTTTGTTATGAAGTGTAACATGAATAGACACCTACTTCTGTACTATCAGGATCCATATGTAACATGTAATGAAAATGATGTATTAAATCCAGTTTCAATTAATGTGTTTTTTTACCTGTATTCGTGACACACTGTCTTGTTCAATGTGGTGTAATTTTCCAGTGAATTTAGAGTAAGCATACTTTTCAGATTTATAGAATACAGAAGTTTTAGAGTTTAGAAGTGAATTAGCTGGTAACAGTGAAAATGCTGACGCAAGTAATGTGAAATATGCCTTATATCAGGTCTAATCCTGTCTATAACCAACATCTGCTATTGAAAGTGTGTTCTGAGTTGATCTTCGACTTTACTGAAATGGAAAGAAAATAAACAGTCTTGAAAATAAAACGCAGACAGTGAGCTAAGACAATGAAGATGGAGAAGAGAAACAATACTAGGGTCACTCATCGTGCATCTTTGAACCCTTACTATGTATTATATACCAAATTTAAGTTTTAAAGGTAAAGGTAAGGTAAAGTTGTCCTTGTGCTTAACTAATTAAGCACTATGCTATGAAGGCGTATGGGGAAGTGGATGTATAGATCCACATTTTATTGATCTTGGAACTAGCTGGAGGTGAGTAGTCAGCTTCACACCTCTGCTGCTTTACCCCTGGGGAAAGAATCCCCACTACCCATTGGACAGGGAGACGTGTTTGTCTCTGTGATGAACTGTTGTTTCACCTACTCCATACCTACTTAGAGATGTTTTATGGAGCTGACTAATTCACGTTTATTAAATTGACAGTTTCTGTTTTATCATCGTTACAAGCACACATTTATAGATATTGTACAAGTCTACACAAATATCACTGTAAATATAACCACCTGCTATCTGTGCTGAATGGTACTGAATGTTTTTGGAATGGGAAAGGATTGCTAACACTTCTGGTTGGAATTTGCTTATGAAAACCGAGGGACCATAATAGAGAATGCTTGTAGATAGCATAAAGACATAAAGAGCAGAATTTTAAAATGTTAACTGTTCTGGCCCTAGGTAGGAAAGAACTATACAACATATTCTAATATGACATAAAAAATCCACAAACAGATAATGTGGTCTTGGATAATCAAGATCCTAATGCACACAGGCTTTCATTTATATCTTGCAGGCAATGTCATATGATTTATACTGAACCAACTTATTCAATTGTATGAATTTTGTGATTATTAAACCACATCTTGTATGAGTAGAGAGGACACAACTGTTCTCAGATCACTGCTCACATTTCTGTTCAGCAAGATCATATTGCCAGTAGTTTCCAATTAGATTACAAAATGACACAAGTTTCTGAAATACTGAAACCTGTCATGGTTCATTTCTGCATAATAAAGATGTAATCAAGCAAAGCCTTAAATATTCACATACTAGGAAATGTCATAGTAGAAATGCTGAATGAACTTGGCTGTGAATGGAAATATTCCTGATGACTTGGGTTAAGAAAAGTAACCCTCTAGCATATATGCATGAAAAAACATACCATCACCTCCCTAAATCCTAGATATCATCAGTACTTCCAACATTCACAGCCCTATACAATTAGTTCACTCAAAGCAAAATTTTAACTTAGTTGTGCAGTTTTTGTAAATTAAATTTGAGGCTTGAAAGCAGCAACAATTTCTGCTAAATTTCATTCAACCGAGTGTCCTTTCTGTGTTCAAGCATCTGATACTATGAAGAGCATAGATTTAAAAGTTGTTTTCAGCGCTCAAATATCAAATACATTTCTGCACACTTTGAACTTACATGCACTGACATTCCAAACATCAGTAAACTCATATATTAAGTGGGTACAAGGAACTCTATATGTCTGTCCCTTCACTGCATAATTCTTGCAGTGCAAACCTTTCTTCATAGCCCATTATATTCTGAACAGTTCTTCTGTTAAATAACTTGGAAACATGTTGCAGTTATTAATAGAAAAATATATTTAGACAAGGAACCCATGTGATAAAAAGAACAGGGTCCTGCTACAGAATTTCCTAGTAACAGACTTAATTTGCTTTGTGTGAAATCAAATGTAATTCACCTTCTGAGTTTAAAGCTTTTAATTCAATGAAAGGTATTGCAGGGGCACATTCTTCCCAGATGCCAATAATCACACATTTAAACTGTTTACTTTATTGTATATTCAAGCTGGTACCTCCTGTAATTGTACAAAAGATCTAAAACATGTTGGTGTCAACATTCTATTTATTCTTCATCATCAATGTTCTTCGCATTGTGCGACCACAGAATAGCCCTGCAATGAAGACAATGCCCACAGCAGTGAAAGCAACTATCATGAAATATCGTCTTGCAGGAGAGCGAGACATCTGACTATACAGTTCTTCAAATGTCTTAGGCTCCATTATCTGGAACAAATTTAGAACACAGTCAGTGAAGAAAGGAAGAAATTTGAGTAGAACCAGTATTTTACACACAGAATTACTGGGTTTTTGGACTTTTACCATCGTCCGGAATTCTAGGTAATAGAGGACACAACACAGAAACACATCCAGTTCTGTGTCCTCCATTACCTAGAATTCTGGACGATGGAAAAAGTCCAAAAACCCAGTAATTCTGTGTGTCATCCACCATCATCAGAACCCTTCAGAATCTACTAGTATTTAACAGGCTAAAGTACTGACACTACAGCTTATCCTGTGAAAGCAACTCTCACAGGGGTATCAAAATTATTTATCACTATATAATGTACAAAAATAATATCAGTAATAACAACTAAAAAATCTGTCTCAATATAATTTACAAACTCCACTGTGAAGAGAGCACGGTGTGACATTCTTAAAAGTCATAATGGTGGAGTCAGAGAAGGGTCATAGACATCCACTGTTGCGTAACAGAAATATGGACACGACAATCAGAAATGAGTATGTCTGAACTGGCAAGGGCCAGCAGAAATTCAAGCAAACCGAAATGGGGAAGATACAAGTATATCTCATGACTCAATCGGAGTAGTGAGGCAGCAAAATATTGTGATGGGTACTGCAGCGCCAAGAACCGAAAGTGACTGTGCTGGTGAAAGCCAGCAGGAATTTACCTGAAGCTGAAATGGGGGAGTCTTGGTTACTGGAGGCTGTTACCATACAACAGGTATATGATATATGAAGACTTAGCAAAGTTGGAGAGTGCTGTAGTTACCCGAAGATTATGAAGAATGTCAAAAGTGTTGTCATTGTTTGTAGTTGAAGGCAATAAGCATCCAGTAAATTCAGTCATCAATCTAGACCCTGTGTTTAGTCACTGATATGTGACAGTATGAAGTGTATCAGAAAGTTCCCAGACTAGGTCCAAAAAAAAAAAGAAGCTGGCTTAACTCAATTTTGGTTGCCATTTCCTTCAAAAGAGTCTCACTGGGAATGTACACAGCAATCCCATCATTTTTTCCATGCTTCAAAAGCACCGTGGAAGTCATTTTCCTTAAAGCTGTCAAGGACTGTTTGCGATTCCCTTTGGATGTCAGTTGTTTTAAAATGTCGTCCATTCAGTTTCATTGTCAATTTGAGAAACAAAGCTAAATCACGGGGGGCTAAGTCTGGCTAGCAGCAACGATGCAGAACAATAACTATGTTGCTGTTAGTCACAAACTCTGTGGTTTTCAGGAATGTGTGGGCGGGCGGGTCATGTTCAAATTTTCTGTTAAGATCTCCTGACAAACTCCATAACTGATACCAAAGGTGTCTGCGAGCTCATGGATTGTTCGGCAAAGGTCTTTGTGGATGATTTCTCAAAATTTTTCAACATTTTCTATGGTTTTGTTAGTGACTGGTTGCCCTGAATGTGTCATCTTCAACTGGCCTTGAAACGTGACTACCATTCAAAAACCGTTGTCTGGCTTAAAGAATGTTCTCCAAAAGCCTCACAAAGCATTTTAAGGGTTTTGGTAGTGGATTTACCAAGCTTCACACAGAATTTTATAGACATGTTGCTCAATTTTACCATTCATCGCAGACAAAACAAAACAAAGTCAAAAAAGCACTCGTGTAAAAACAATGCTTGTTCACAGTGGTATCCGTGTGTAGACTGATGCAGAAGGCTTGCAGAAGTGTGATCTTGGCCACCCCTCTGATCTTCTTTCACAAAGGCAGTTACAATAATAACAGTGTGGGAACTTTCTGATACCACCTCGTAAGTTGATAGGAATTCCCTTTCATGGAACCCAAAGGCAAATTACTGTTCACAAAAGTCTAAGACTGGAACTTATCTTGAGCCTGCCACCAAACTCTCATGGAACTGGCCAAACATAACAGGGTACAACTGATGTGCATGCCAGGGCACGAGGGTATTGCTGGAAACGAAATAGCAGACCAATTGGCCAAGATTGGAGCTGAACATCTGTTCATAGGACCTGAACCAGCCTGTGGCATCTCTATAGGAGTCGCCAGAAAGGCAATCAGGGACTGAACAAATATGAATCACAAGAAATACTGGGGATCCTTGACTGGACTCAGGCAAGCAAAGGGATTCATACGAGGACCCTCTACTAAAAGAGTGAAGGACCTGTTGAAGTTAAACAGGAACCAGCTACGATGGGTGGTAGGACTACTTACAGGACACTGTCACCTCGTAGGACAACTATTCAAACTTGGACTAAGTCATAGTCCAACTTGTGAGAGGTGTCAAGAAGAAAATGAAACAGCCACACATATCTTGTGTGAATGTGAGGCCTTAGCTTATTTGAGATTGCGTCACTTGGGTCAATATTTTATGGAACCTAGTGACTATTTCAACATCCCCACGTACAAAATCCTATGCTTCATTCGAAGCACAGGATTGTTGAGGGGATAATCAGAAGGGGAGGCACAATAGATCACTGTGGCAAAGAAGGCCCACCTCTTATACATTCATTCATATCTTGAGCCAGCTGAATCCAATTAATGTTGCGGC